AGAAAGCCTTCCCTGGGCCCTCCTATGGGTTTTCCCAGCCCCTGGCCCTCTTGCTGGTCCAAGCCTGACCCTACATGCTGGGATATCTGTGCCCGGTTCTGCCTCTCCATTCTGACTGGGGCTCTGTGAGGGCCAGGTCTGGGGCTGAGTTTGTGCATGATCAAGCATATCTGTACCCCAGGTCTGCAGGTAGACATCCCATGGCAGCATGTGTGTGCCCACGTTCTGTGTGTGTGTCCCTGTGCTGAGCCCCCAGACAGGCAGCCAGGTCAGCTCTCAGCAGACGGTGGCATCTTTCTGAGGCAGGGAGAGTGGGCTGAGCCGGGCCCCTCGATGAAGGAGCGACAGTTGGACTGGAAGACCCTGGCTCGGCTGGGAGCTCATTCCTCCACCGACCCTCAGCTGGAGGAGGGGGAGCGGGCAGCCAGCAGCAGCCTCCTCCATTCGTCCCCATGCCTTAAGTGCCATCGTTAAAGCTCCAGCTCCAGTCTGAGAACCAGGGAAGGGCCAAGTACAAAGGGGGAGCCTCCCACTGCCGCCCCTGTGTCATGGAGTTCCCGCCGGGCAGCCTTCGAGGACATACCTGAGGTTTGGCAGCACCGGCCCAGCCAGCCCCCAGGGCTGAGTCAGCAGGAAGGGATTCACGACTTCCCTGGGAAAGCAGCCGGGGCCGAACCCCCCCAGCCCCTTGCCCCTGGTCTATCCCTCCCCAGAGCTCTGAGGGTGGGAGGCGCTGCCTGTCTCAGTTGCGGCCGGGTGTGCTCAGTGGGGCTGAACCAGGGAGGGTCGTGGGGGGTTGGAATTGGCTTGACTCAGGCCAGCCAGGTATCTGGGGGTCAAGCGGGTCCCGCTGTGTGGGGCTAATCTGGGTGGGTCAAGGAGACACTGTGCACAGGTGAGCACAGATGTGAGTGACCCTGCAGCATGGGCCTTTGTGTTGCAGATGCATGTGTCTGCCCGTGTGGCTGCGAGGGGCGGCTCAGCGTCCAGCATGTCCTGTGTGTCTGGTGTGTCCCGTGTGTCCAGCCTTGTGCATTTTTTAGGTGTAACTGCCTATGTGGCTGTGCTGAGGGTAACTGTCACCGATTGGGTGACAAAAAGGTGGTCGGGTAGTATAGGAGGGAGTATCTGACCGCAAGGGACAGAGACGGGGCATGATGAGGACAGAATGATCTTGGGACCAATGACAGGCATGTCTGGCTCTATGTGACACATCCCCTGTGCTCCACAGTGGCTGTGGCCATGGCCCTGGCTAGGATGGTGTGTTTCCCTTCACCCCCCTCTAAAAGTCAGTGTCTGTTGCTTCCCTGACCTCTGGGGTCTCCTCCCTTCCACCTGCCCAGACCCCACACCCCAGGACCTGCCCTGGGAAGGGTCAGGGGGTGGGACATCAGCGTTCACCTCGACTGCCCTTTCCCTGTTGGCACCCTGCCTGGGTTTCCACCATTAAAGCTCAAGCATTTTCCCCACCTGACTGAAGCGGGTCTCCCTGCCAGGCTGGCTCCAGTCGTTGGGGTCTGAGACTGGATTATACTCAACTCCAAGGGCTGATGAGAGAGACAGACGGGGCCTGGTGGGTGGCCGTGCCAGATCCATGAGGCCCCAATGGAGGAGCCAGGGATGTTCAGCCAGGACAGGAGGCGGCTGGGGTTGGGGGTGGGGATGGGGGTGCTGAGCTGCAGGGTTTGAACCCTGCAAGGGCTGCCACATGGGAGGAGCAGACCCCGTTGCATGAAACACTTTCCAAGAAGCTGAATCCTGCAACAGCTCCACGGGAGTCTGTTATGAGAAATTGCGTAGCCCTCCCCTGCTCCAGCACCTTCAGTGGCTCCCCACTGCCCTCCAGAAGAACTCAGCATTCAAGGCCCTGCTCACCTCCCCTGTGCGTCTCCCTCCTGCTGCTGCCGTCCATGTCTGCCCAAGGTTTCCCTCCTCCAGCCTTCACATGTGCCTTTCAGGCTACCTGGAACGCTCCTCCTATCTTGCCCACCTGGCAAACTCGTGCACGTCCTTCAAGACTCAGCACCTATGTCACCTTCTCTGGGAAACGTTGCCCTTTCCCCAGCCCACAATCCCCATTTGCTGTGTGACCCTGGGCAAGTCCCTTCAGCTGTAAGATGGGGGTAAAAATCATCTTCCCTAAAAGCATATTTTGGGGCCCCAAGACAATAAATATACATTTAATGCCATTAAAGTGCTCTAGGCCTTGCGGGGTGGGGGGGCTTGCATCCAGTCAGCACTCAATGTGTGCTTATTTTTATCTTCCGCTTCTTGGACTCTCGCGCTTTTAAGACTCTCTTGTTTTAAGCATTTTACTGTTCCAAGATTTTTCTCCCCATCGTGGTGCTAGGAATTTGAAGAACCCCTGGTTCTAAAATTACAGAAGTCTAAAATGCTGTGGGCGGGGCCAAGGGCCTCCTTGTGCCCTGAGCTGACCCCAGGGTGGCCAGAGCTGGGGTCTCTGGGAGAGTCTCGTGCCCCCACTCCCCCCCCCCAGACCGAGTGGCTGTGGTCTGGCAGCCCCAGTTTGCATGTGGGGGTGGGTGCGGTGTGGAATGGGTTTACCAGGAGGTGGATGAGGGCCCGTGTTCCAGGAGGGAGGGACGGGACTCCTGGCTCAAGGGCTACAATGGGCCGTGAAAGGAAGGGTCAGGAGGCACAGGGCTGTCAACTCAGGGTGGTGGTTTCCTTCTCTTGAAGTCTCAGTTGCTTCATCTGGAAATTGGGGCCAAATGCTGCCCTCTTACCGGATTGTCCACAGGGGTTGGGAGGAGCTGGGCTCCAGCGCCACCCTGCGACACTTTAGCTTGGGCTGTGTCCTCCTCCTGAAACACCCTCCCTGGCCCAGTTCCCTCCGTGAGCTCCTGCTCACTCCTGGCCCAGTCATGGCAGCTGGGGAGGAGGCTTCAGGGGGATGCCCACCCACCCCCTATCCCACCTGCCCTAAGGAAGGGGAGCAGGGCTGGGCCAGCAGCTCCCCACCAACCCACTGGCTGCCCAAGGCCAGGCAGTGGCTGCGGCCCCACGCTTTCTCAGTGAAAGGTTCTTGGTCGTGGAGCCGGATACCTCATCACCCTGGGCCCGGAAGCTGCAGCCAGCTTCGCCCTCCTGCTGCAGGAGGAGGACCCAGACTTCAGCAGAGCCCTGGGGCCCACTTTGGGAGACCAGGGCTGATGGCCCTGGGTTTGCCAGCTTCTCCCCATCCCTCCAGTCCCCCGAGTCTAGCCTCAGAGCACAGGAAGGTGTTCCCAGTGGAGGAAGGGCCTGAGGGTAGGGCTGAGTGCTGGAGGGGTTGGGAGTTGCCAGGGTGGGTTGTGACCTGGGGGCCACGAGTACTGCCCCCAAGGGTGTGTTGGGGTCTGGAAGTATGATCCCATTTGCCCCTCACCCCAAAAGGCTGGGCTTTCTCAGGGCCCCAGTGTTGTTGGCACAGAGCAGATGAAGCACTGGATAGGTGGATGGTGGGATGGATGTGGCAGGCAGGCAGGTGGGCAAGTAGACGGGTGGGTGATGGAAGGGGAAGTGAGTGGGAGGGTTGCAGAGGCCCCAGTATGCTGCAGGCTAAGGTGACACTCCAGACCCCCGCTCCCTACCAGCACCCTTACTCTGGGGGTGGACAGCCAGGGACAAGTCTTTCCTCCTAGTCTCCCTAAAGGTCCCTCCAGCCACGCCATATTGACACCTTCCAGGGCCCAACATCTCCAGGCCAGGGGTGTTTCAGGCATGTGCTAAAGAGGCTCGAACTGCAGAGTTATCTAGGGAGCTCCCACCCTTGCCATGATTCACACCAGGTCCAGGGCCTCAGTTTCTCCATCTGGAAAGTGGAGTGTTGTCAGAACAGCACCTGCCCTGTGGGGTGCTGGGAGGACCTGAATGGCTGCACGCACACAGAGTGCAGGCAAGTCATGACTCTGCTGTCTCCACACTGAAGGTCCTGGCCAGGTCACAGGGCTGAGACCCTGGCCTTGGGCAGTCCAGGCAACACGTGGCCAAGGAGTGGCCCGGCCTCAGCTGGGTGGGACCCAGGGTTTGGCCATTGTGGCCCCAACTGAGGAAGTGGCCTTCCTAGCTGCCACCTGCCCTGGGCTCTCCCCTGCCAGTGTAGTCCCTGGGCATATGGCCAGGCCCAGCTGATGAGGCTGGCCAGGCCAGAGTAGTAGCCGATACCATGTTCCATGGTCAGGGCCCTGCAGGCTCGGACAGCTCACCTGTGTTTCTGTACACACGTGTCACAGACATGTCTGCTGAGGTCCACACATCTGCTCCAGGTATGCCCATGGCCATGCGCAGGCCTCTGAGCTGCTTGCACACGTGTGTTCATGTGCACCTCGGCCTGCTTCTGCATCTGGGCCAGGCAGGTCAAGTCTCCAGCCTTCAGTCCCCAGAGCCCAGTACCATGATTTGGAAATAAAGCATTTTTAATTAAGTCCCCGGAGCACCTGTCCCAGCCACCGGGGATTCTCCAAGCACCAAACATGTGAGAATTGTTACCCCTGCCTCAGAGACTCCCCCACATGGGGACCCCCAAGATGCCCCTCCCAACGTCAACTGGGCCCCGCTTGGACCCCCACTCACACCCACAACCAGCCCCCCAGGCTTCCTTTCAATAAATATCCCCAATAGCAAAGCTTAGAGGAGGGGACCCGCTAAAGCACTGAGCTCAGCACAGACAGGGGGCTTCATGCCAGAAGTTAGAAATGCCCAGGGCAGAATATCTGAAATCAGGGTCAAGATACACAGTCAGAGATGGCTTTCTGGGCCCTGGTATCCCAGGGCACTGACTCCACAGTCAGAGAAAAGGTTACTTCAGGTCACACACCAACAGTTGCCTGCCTGGCCTTTCCACCATCGGACACTTTCAGTTCTTGTCTGTACTGTAAATTCTGGGCAGGGGAGGGGAGAGGGGGCCCAGAAACCTGGGGAAGGAAGAAGCGGGGCCGAGACTTCCTGGGGACAGAGGAGTCTGGAATGAGGCAGGGGAGTGAGGCCGCAGGCCCAGGTCACTGCCGGGCCCTGCCCCGCCGAGTGCGGAGGGGACCCACAGATCGGGCCTGTGCCCGGGACACCTGGCCCATCTCCCTGCGGATGTCACCAAGTGCTGATGCCGGGGACTCCAGCAGCCTCTGGAAGAGGCTGGGCCGGCCTGCTGGTGGCTCCCGGCACTGGAAGGTGACAGCTGTGCCAGTGTCAGCCTTCATCTCCCTGGAGAAGCCGTCGGAGGAGCCGTCGAAGCATCGGCCGATGGCGATCTCCTTGGCCAGCCGTGGGCTCTGGTCAGTGACTGTGTACACACCATAGTTGTGACCCAGAGGGTCTAGGGGGGCGAGCATAGCAAAGGCAGCTGGGTCCTCTGCAGGCGCGGGCGGGGGGTGCCGGGCCAGGTAGTCCCGAAGGAGCCCGTTGACCGCCACACGGCGGCAGCTGCCCTGGGGCACGATGGTCACCAGCGTCCTGTCCACCTGACGCTGGTCGAACAGCATTCCGCTGCACTTGAACTCCACGCAGGCAGCAGAGGTGCCGGGACGCGCGGGGTCTCGCACGCTGCGGGTGTCCCGCAGCCCGTAGAGCTGGCCCCGGGTGTGCGGGTGGCTGCCGCCCGCGTTGTGGGAGCGCACCATGTACTCCTGAGGGCCCTGGATTTTCACCTTGAGGAAGCAGGCCCGGAACTCCTGTGGGTTGGGCCACCAGGCTAGGAGATCGCCGGTCCAGGAGGCGGGCGCGGCCTCGCGGAAGGGGACCACGTTGTACTCATACCTGTCGGCCTCCACGCGGGCGAAACGGAAGTGACTGGCGGTCACGGGGGCCTCCTGGCATTCGCGCAGGCTGCGCCACGGGTACACGGGGCCGTTGGCCTCGGAGGGCTCCCCCGGCCTGGGTTTGGCGAGGTTGACATGGAACCCGTTGCGTTTGAAAGCCGGGTCATCGTGGTCGGTCCGAAGGTAGCTCAGCCTGTCCAGGTAGGGCTGGGCGACGCCCACGGTGGCCGGGAGCGGACGGGGCCGGGAGGGGGCCGGCTCCAGCTCCTCGCCGCCCAGGGTGGCCGTGACGAGGGCCGTGTAGGCGTCGGGACGGTCCGCGTCGCAGAAGGCGGGGAGGCAGGCGCCGTT